TGTGGATAGCAATGTATGTAATGAGATTGTTATGTGTGATAGCAATGTATGTAATGAGATGCTATGTGTGGATAGCAATGTATGTAATGAGATGTTATGTGTGGATAGCAATGTATGTAATGAGATGTTATGTGTGGATAGCAATGTATGTAATGAGATGTTATGTGTGGATAGCAATGTATGTAATGAGATGCTATGTGTGGATAGCAATGTATGTAATGAGATGTTATGTGTGGATAGCAATGTACGTAATGAGATGCTATGAGTGGATAGCAATGTATGTAATGAGATGTTATGTGTGGATGCCTGATTTGCTGAATGAAGTAATTCAGATTTTCTTCTAGCAGAAGATGAATGTCAGGTTAGCAAAATTTATTTTGTTTGTTTTTTCTCAAAGCACTTCCACCCCATACCAGAATTCCACTTCCTGCATTATCACCAACCATGGAAACCGGCACAGTGGCTAGTTGGCTAAAAGAAGAAGGTGAAAAGTTAGAGGAAGGTGATGTCCTTGCACAAATTGAAACAGATAAAGCTACAATGGATTTTGAAACACCTGATGAAGGCTACCTTGCAAAAATTGTTGCTCCTGCTGGCTCAAAAGACCTTCCTGTTGGAAAGGTAGCTTTGTTTTGTTGTTTTTTAATGGTTAGATTGATAACTTTTTTTAATGAAGAGTAGTACTACCTGCACCAAATAAAAAACTATAAATTCTTTGTTCTCTTATTATGATAACAAGTTAGTCGAAGTTAACATATTATTTCATTACATTATTTTACTAATACTTCATTTATCAACTTTTAGTTGGTTTGTATTATTGTTGAAAATGAGGAAGATGTTGCTGCATTTAAAGACTTTACAGATGATGACAGTGGGACACCTCAATCTCAGGTACTCATAGTATTCAGGTACTTAGGTATTCATAATGACCCTCATATCAAATATTTCTGTTCACTTTCTATATTTTTCATCTCAAAAGACATCAGATAGTCCAGTTGAACCACCCCCATCTGTTACTCCAGCTCCTGTGGCCAGCACCACAACTCCTGACTCACCGCCAGCTGTGTCGTCTTCACAAACTGGCAGAGTGTTTGCAAGTCCGCTTGCTCGGAAACTTGCAAAAGAGAAAGGTGTTGATTTACCGGTAAGCTAATTCTGAAAGGTTTCTTGTCATGTATTCACCATCAGCTTCTTAGCAAATTGGAAAATACATGGAAAAGTTGATATTGAACCATGAAATAGATGTACTGTTTTACTTGTCAAAACATATTTGTAATATTGACTTGGTTTTAATCATACATATGTATAACATTAAATATTTCAACATTAAAGATTCATTTGTTACAGATTTGGAATATTGATCAAATAGATTTCTCTTCTAGCAGTTAGATGGCTGTCATTTTGTCTATGTTTAAATCATTTTTAATTCATGTTTTTTTTAGTCTTTGTCCGGAACTGGTCCTGATGGGAGGATTGTTGCTAATGATGTGGGAACTAGCATTCAAAGCATTCCACAACAATCTCCAATTACTACAGGTGCAAAAATGATCAACATAACAGGAATTAGGCTTTGCTAATTTTGATTAACAGGGAGGGGCATTTTAAATTTCAATTAAACCTGTAACTGAAAATTTCAAGTTGAAAACTGCGTTGGTTTTTATCCAGTGTGATTCACTGTCTTAAAATGAACTTGTTAGTCTGAAAATTTCATGTTGTCTTGAATAATGAACATAAATTTGTGGAAAATATTTGTATTTGAAGAATAAAGGTAATTTATGCAAATATGCATGTTTTTATTTTTCAGAAGAAGAATTTACTGACATTCCTTTATCAAATGTTAGAAAGGTAATGTGTACATAAACAGACTGTTTAGATGTTGCGGATTAATGACTGGGCAAATTTTGAAAATAGACGCCACAATTTAAAAAGTTTTATCTTTGGGCTCAAGATTCTTGAAACTTGTTATTTAGTGAGGTATATTTGGTTTTAAAAATCACAATTCAGTTGATAATTGGGGCAAGGTCCATCATCTAAGAAATGGATTTTGGATCAACACATTTTTTTTATTTTGTAGGTGATTGCTAAAAGATTACTAGAATCAAAACAAACTATACCACATTACTATTTATCTGTGGATATACGCATGGATAACATTATTGAGTAAGTATGATTTACTAAGTAAATGGAATGAGTAAATAAATTTACTAAATGGAATAGACTGTAATTTTGGCTTGGACAGACTCTATGTAAGGTGAACCATAGTTGTGTTTGCAACTTTGTGCATAGATTTGTGTGTGGAGACATTGTTGGGGAGTTTGCACCATAGATAAGATTTTGTCGTTTCACCCCTTGTCTAAAAACTCACTCACACTTATTCAGTATGACCCAGAAACTCCTTTCCACTTGAACGGCTTGATTTTTGCTAAATTAAACAAAAGACCATTTTCCGATAGTCATAAGTTGATTTGAATTCCTGCTCAGTGAGTGTTGGGAGCTTTTAAAATACAGGCATTTGTACCATAAACTTTGTGTCTGAGATGTTGTGTTGGTACTTTCTGAAAATTATAGCAATGCTCCAATATGGAGCAAAATCTCTGGAGCCAGTTGCACGAAGCCTGGATAGCGCTATCCATTGGATAGCAAAAAATTTCAAACTTGTAAAAAAGATGTTTATATTTTTCTCGCAACAAAGAAATTTTGTAATCTTCAAAACAATATTTTATTTCAGCGATTGCACAGTTCAAATCGTATATTTTTTTCTGATAAGAGATTTTATGAACGTTCAGAAAAATTTGCTATCCAGTGGATAACGCTATCCAGGCTTCGTGCAACCGACCTCTGTTGGTCAATAATAACTAAAACTTTATACTTAATTATATACAACCATGTGAGAGGGTTTCTGGTGTGTCAATTTGTAAGGGTTTGGTTGGTTATTTAATGTCATAGTGTTACTAAAGATTTGTTTACATTTTTGGTTTATTTTAGACTTCGTAAAGAGTTGAATGAGTTAGTAAAGTCTGAGTATAGGTTGTCTGTGAATGATTTCATCATAAAGGCATCAGCCTTATCGTGTAAACAAATTCCCGAAGCAAATTCCTATTGGATGAACGAGTTTATCAGACAGTAAGTAAAATGCTACTTTCTTGAATTTATTCAGTGTGATGTTTGAATTTACATTGCTTGTTGAAATAGAAATCTTCTTCATTTTTATGAATATTTGTTATTCATCAAGTAGACGTATAGTGAGGCATTGTTGCTGAAATTTCTAACTTACTAAGGAGTTTTGTATGATTTACAGAAATCACAATGTTGACATCAGTGTTGCTGTAAGCACAGATTCTGGTTTGATTACGCCTATAGTTTTCAATGCAGATAAAAAGGTTTGTAAATATATTAACTTTCATTATATTTTTTGTCCGCGCAATAAAACATTTCAATTTGATGTGATTTTTTACTCTGTTGTGTTACGTCTGAAGACAAAGTTGTATTTTTATAGGGACTAGGAAAGATAAATTCAGATGTTGTTTCACTTGCGAAGAGAGCTAAAGAAAACAAGTTACAGCCACACGAATTCCAGGTGTGATTTCTTATTCAATGTTTTTATGTCTCTGAACTCATGTTGAAGGACATGAACGGATGTATAACACACTAGTTTTGAAAAAAACACTTGAGAAAAACGACGATTTTTTTGAGAGCAAACATGTTTCGACATTATCAGAATGCCATCTTCAGTGCAGAATGATTAGTGTTAAGTAATATGATACATAATATGATATGAGTAAATTAATTACAATGAGTATTAAGTATTAATAACTATAACGTAAGTTCTAAAATAAGTATTAGAATTTATAACAAAGTATTATTATTATTTTGTTATAAATTCTTAATAATTATAATTAATAATATAATACTCATTATTACTCATATCATATTATGTATCATATTACTAACATAATTCTGCACTGCATTCTGATAATGTCGAAACATGTTTGCTCTCAAAAAAATCGTCGTTTTTCTCAAGTGTTTTTTAAAATTGCTGCTAATTAGAAATTACACTAGTTTTGATAATACGGAGAGGAAACATAGTTTGGAGGAGGAAAAAATTAACCTTAGCAAGTTATGATGACAAGTAATTCATCAAAACACAACACATAATTTAACTATTTTAAAAGAGTAATACTTCCTTCTAGGGTGGCACCTTTACTGTTTCAAATCTTGGAATGTACGGAATAAAGAATTTTGCTGCTGTTATCAACCCTCCTCAGGTAGTTTGTAAATCATTTATTGGGTGGACAAAATTTTGCTATATTTTGGTTGCAGCGTTAGATTGCTTTAGTTTGAAATTTAGTTTGTCGAGGAAATGTTCTTTTCCGTTCATAAATGTACATATAATAATAACAATATCTAATTACGTAGTTGATTTTCCTCTGTTCTATGTTATTTAGTCTTGTATCTTAGCCGTTGGTCAGACAGAGAAAAGAATTATTGTTGATGAAGATTCAGATCTAGGGTAAGTTTATTTTAGATTAATGAATAAAAACTCTACTCTGCCTTAATTTCTTTATTCGTAACGCACGACTTTTCTTCAAGTTCTTAGTCGTACGTTATAAACGATGCTTTTAGAGTTTTCGTGTTTACTTTTTCAATTACTTTTATTCACTTTTTCTATAGTTTTACTCAAGCTATGATGTTGAGTGTCACATTAAGTTGTGATCATCGTGTCGTAGACGGTGCTGTTGGTGCACAATGGTTGCAACACTTCAAGTCTTATCTGGAAAAACCAGCTAAGCTTTTATTATAAGAATGTTGATTTTTATTGAACAAATTCTATGATACGTTCAAAATTTTTGAATTGGTTGAAACAAAACCATGGAAGCGTAGTGTATATAAACGTTGATCTCCTGAGCTCTAGCTGTCAGAACTCTGATTGAACCTGTCACTCTTTATGGTATCGCCCTGATTAACTTGCTGTTGAATCCATTTTTGGATTTAATCTCTCGCTTACTGGTGGTGTTATCTATAAGCACAATTTTTTTTGTTCTGGTGTTTTGTACGACGCCTGAAATTGTCGAAAAATAACCAATAAAATGTACTCTGGCATTTTGTTTTTATTATCTTCCGGTGTACTAGTAGCAAAATTATATTTTTTTATAAATAAAAGTATTAAAAAAATCCAGCAAAAATCTTACTGTCATGTACTGTTATCTCCTAAGAAAAGACGACGTTTCCAAATGTCGTCACAGTAACAGTAGATAGCTTTAGACCATTCTTTATACAGGTGACTGATGTGACAATGTATGTCTGTGGATAATGGTAGGTTACTGAGGGTGACGATGATGATGTAATACATATATAATACATGTAATACACAGATTTTCCTTTATTAGCGTATTTAGAAAATGGAATGATTACGAAGAGGGTAAAAGTCGAAAGGTTTAAAAGGTTTGTATGTCTTCTTTAATTTTATAACTTAGAGTTTCAATTTTCTTGCTATACTACAACTAAGCATTGTTTATATAGAAATTGGTAGCTAACGGCACGCAAAGTTTTTTTATTATAAGTTACGTGAAGGCATCAATTTATTCTTTATCTTCACAGGAATGTTTTTTCGTTTTGAAACTTGTCATCAACAATGACATTATTTTAAGTTATTTGCTTTTTCAATATTCTCGTTTGTTTTTAGTCCATATCATTGTTCATTTATCACTCTTATTCGTCATAATCTCGTTGCTGATCTTTCCTTGGGCTCATGTTCTTTGAAAGTTGGCTCATGGTGTTGGCCATCTTATGAAACTCGTCCCATCTTATATTCTCCAAGCTTTTCTGCATTTTTACTTTAGATTCAAGTTGAGAACACAAACTTTCAGCTTCATGGAGACGTGATTTTAAGTCCAACAGCTCGTCATTCTTTTCATCTAACTATTGAGGTAAGATGAGATAGTTGTATTGATTTAATATTGAAACGTGGGTCATATAACATGTAACAAACACTAAATAAGCCCATGTGTATATTGTAGTCTAGATTCATACTTGTTTGATGTGTTATTCCAATGTATAAAATTTTACCTTGGATTGTAAATCACAAATTTCGTCCGTCAACAGCAGTTTATCTCGTTGTAATGAAATATTTTCATCGCTTTGTATTGTGTTCATATTTTGCAATTCTTCGACGTTGGTTTTTAACTTGTTCTTGCTCAGAGTCACTGTGCACAAGATTTTCATTTTTTTATAAGAATTTTCACAATTTTTATCATGGTAAGATAATAACTTTGACGTTATACTTACATTACTATATAAATGTTGTGAATATAATGAGGATCACATAAAACACTTATAATGTTACTATCCACTATCGTACCTGTTGATCATAGTAAGTTATATATACTTTTATTCATAGCAAATCAATCTTACCGTTTAGTGTGTTCTTTTCTTCACGTGTAAGCTATATATAGAATAAAATTTTGCGCTAGTCGCGTTAACATCACGAAGTAAAACTGTTAAAATTTGATAATTTAGGGAAGCTTCAATCTGTGTTGCAGTATCGTGCTTCATCAGTGGTTGAATGTCATTAATTAAAGAAAATGTTAAACTGGTTGCACAAGTTGTGGCGCTTGGAAAACAAATAGATACAGTGAGTTTTGCTTGATAGTTCGTTCTTTGTCATAATTTAGCAAGTCAACTACGTGTAACATCATATATAGCATAAGTATTACATAAGTATAAGGAGATCAAGTACATTGATTTCTTATGTACCATCGTCACTATGACATAAGTATAAGGAGATCAAGTACATTGATTTCTTATGTAACATCCTCACTATGACATAAGTATATTATTTATTCTTGCAATCCTATTTATTCAAAAATACCTTTTGTGTCGCTTCTCGATTTTTTAATTTCTCATTGTAAAGTTGTTCTCTGGTAGTTTCTAATTCGTTTTGTAAACGTCTCTCGCTGTCTTTTAACGTTACTAATTCCTGTATGTTTGCCTGACGGCGGGCGATTTTTTCATCCTTGTGGGCACGATCCTGTCACGTAAGAAAAATAATTGATTTATTTTATCGTAGTAAGGATATTTTATAAGAAATCAATGTACTTGATCTCCTTATACTTATGTCATAGTAAGGATGGTACATAAGAAATCAATGTACTTGATCTCCTTATACTTATGTCATAGTGAGGATGGTACATAAGAAATCAATGTACTTGATCTCCTTATACTTATGTTATAGTGAGGATGGTACATAAGAAATCAATGTACTTGATCTCCTTATACTTATGTTATAGTGAGGATGGTACATAAGAAATCAATGTACTTGATCTCCTTATACTTATGTTATAGTGAGGATGGTACATAAGAAATCAATGTACTTGATCTTCTTATACTTATGTCATAGTGACGATGGTACATAAGAAATCAATGTACTTGATCTCCTTATACTTATGTCATAGTGAGGATGGTACATAAGAAATCAATGTACTTGATCTCTTTATTCTTATGTCATAGTGAGGATGGTACATAAGAAATCAATGTACTTGATCTCCTTATACTTATGTAATACTTATACTATATATGATGTTACACGTAGTTGACTTGCTAAATTATGACAAAAAACGAACTATCAAGCAAAACTCACTGTATCTATCTGTTTTCTAAGCTCTACAACTTGTGCAGCCAGTGCTGCATTTTCTTTAATTAATGACGTGCAATCTTCTTGGATCTAAATGGGAGAAAGAATTTATTTTTCAAGTATGTTGAGTAAACAACATTGCTCAATGAACTCCGACCTTTGCTCTTAGTGTTCTGTCTTGTTGTGCATTTAGTTCCTTTTGTCTTGCATCTAGACGCAACTGTCGTATTTCCTCCTACAGCGTTAAGATTTTTTTCAACTTTTCTTAGTGAACACAATTCAAAAAATGCAAGTCATTCATATTTACTCTTAACTCGCGTCCCATGTCTTCTTTCGATTTTACGTCGGATTGAAAGAATCTTTCTTCAATTTCCCGTAATTGTGTTTGATATTTCAAACACTCAGCACGACTTTCCTCCAACTTAATTTGACACCGACTAAGTTCTTCAGTTTTATCATCAAGCTTCACAAAAACAGGAAAAAAGAAATGATGAATTTTTTCTTTTGTTAATTCTTTACCAAAACTTAGAACAATTTCCCCAACTTATATTTGAATAGAAAATATTTCTCAAATCTTGATAGGAAAATGTGACAGTTGTACTTGAGTAATTAGAAAGAAAAGTGTTTTAATAGTAGAACTTTTCTTTCTTGTTGCATTTCATAATTTGTATTTCCATCATCTGAAGTGGAGTAAGTTCAGAGAGTATTCATTAAAGTGGGTGAAACCTGAGTTCCTAATAATGAAATTTGTTCTTCAGCTTCTTGTAGTGCGTTTAATCCTTTACTGGCTTCATTTTCTACTTGTTGCACATGAATGTCACGACGTGAATGGAGTCTTTCTAGGTCCTCTTTGAACTTTTTTAATGACACAATTTCATTTACCAACTCTCTTTTTTCATAAGCATGGCTTTCTGTGTAATAAAAATTGCTCTGTGAACACAAATGACAATGAAATTCTGTTTTTTGGATCTAGATTCTGTTGTAGCTTGGTGGAAGCTATGAATAATTATGTGGGTAATTAGGGGTTAAAAAAAAACTTGATGAAGGGAGGGGTTAGGAGGTTCCATGGAAGAGACATGGTGAAGTCTATATTATGTATTTTTGTATAATTAACCTCCCTTGTTATAGCATTTGTACAAATTATATGAGATAAACATAATTATCCATAGCTCTTACCTTCAACATCTCTAAGTTTCCTCAATGAAACTTCACGTTCATTTTCCAACAATCGAATTGCTGATTCTTTTTTTGCTATATCTGTGACTCGATCATCAAGTTCACTTTGAAGTGTCTAAATACATAAGAAATTAAATTAAATATTTGTTTGGGGTCTCCAACAAATAAAGAGAAAAGTGCTTATTATATTTAAATTTAATTATTATTTTTTTTGTAACACAAATTGATTAATTCATTTTTAAATAATACCGCAATTTTTACACTTTTAGGTAAATACTTACTCTCAGTTTTCTCATCATTTTTTCAGCCTCTTCAGTTAATCTAGGTGGTATAATTGTTGCTTTTTTTGCTTGCTCCCTTCTAAAACTTGTATCAAGGAGTGTTCAAAAAAGTTGAGTAGTTTTTGTATTAAATAATGCCAAAGCAGTGATTATATAATATAGGATACAAATAGTTGGCTTCCAATTCAAGAAAGTAGATTTGCTGTTGTAGATTTCTGATGTATTCATTTTCAATCTTTGAAAGTTCTGTAGTTGAATAACCACTCCTAATATATAGTAGCCAGTTAACATGTGCAGGCAATAGTTTAAAAATATTTACATGTGTAATATAAAAATATACAGTATATTTGCATTATATTTCAGGAAATGCTCAACGTGACAATATTGACATCACCTACTTTTTCCCAATGTCAAATGATGCAGCAAGTCCACGACTAGAGGACGTGCGTAGATCTTTGCCACTAGATTTAAACAATGAACCTGGGGCACTCTTTCGCAGTGGTGAAGCTGGAAAATTTGAGGAAAGGACATGAAAAATCAAATGGTAAGGAAGATGTATAATCATAGCCTCACTTACTAGATCTATTTGTTTTTGAACGACTAAAAGCAGCCATGTATTCAAATTTTCTCCTTCCGAAACAAATAATAGTGAATCCTATTTAAATGAAGCCATGTAATGATCCATAAACGAACGGAACGACGGCGTCTTTCGTTGCTAGGCAAGTACCTCTACACTGATCTCTAACTAGCAGATAATTAACTGTATTGGTATCATGTCATTGTAGATCTGAGAAATAATACAATTCTATAATATATTATAATAAGTAATGGACACAAATGTGAACACAATGATAGGTAAAATGGTAGACATAAAGGTAGAGATAAAGACACAAATGTACAAAAACATCAACGAAGGTTGAAAAAAAGGTAGATATTAACGTAGACATAAGGGTAAACTCATGTCTTACGTCTTAAGCCTGGCTCGCATGAGTGAAATAAGCACAAACTGCAACAATAGGCAATCAACAAGGCATGAACTATAGTCTTTGGCATAAAAATTTGTGAAAATGCAAAGACTATAGTCTTTGACATGAAAATGTGCGAAAATGCAAAGACTATAGTTTTTGGTATGAAAATGTGTGAAAATGCAAAGACTATAGTCTTTGGCATGAAAATGTGTGAAAATGCAAAGACTCTAGAGTTGTCATCAAAATGTAAGAAAATACAAAGACTATAGTCTTTGGCATGAAAATGTGTGAAAATACAGACTATAGTCTTTGGCATGAAAATGTGTGAAAATTCAAAGACTATAGTCTTTGTATTTTTACACACTTTTACATAAAGACTATAGTCTTTGCATTTTTACACACTTTTACGCAAAAGACCATAGTGTTTGCATTTTTACACACTGTAGGATCGAGATGCATAGAGCTTAGGTTATGCTAATTATTATGCTAATTATTATGCTAATTATTATGCTAATTATTATGAAAAACAAGAAGGGACCCGTATAAAAGCATGGTTTTTTTTGGGGTCTTTTGAGATTGAGCACAATTCATGTATAGTGGTGTATTTTTGTACATGGATGTTTATATTTAGTGGCCAAATTACGAGGTAACGATGATTACGGCTCTAGGCCTCCTTGTCGGTTATGTTAATATCTATACTCTGTCGTTTAGAACCGTACGTTTGACGCATTGCATTGAAATAAAGACTTATCTGTATACCGGTCGTCGTTTTAATAGTAGTTTATGTACGAGTATCTTGCTGGTCACATAAGCCTGGAATTGTTGAAGCTTATATAGTTCTCGTAATTGTTGTTTAATCGATCAGCAATGACTCAGAAACGAAAGGGTCAAGGTAAAAAGTCGAAAATTAAAGGCTTATCAAAACGCGTACTTCAGCCGTCTGGCGAACAGTTAAGTCCTCCAGGTCAAGTGAGTCGAGCTAAATCTGGAGAGAATTCGCTTAACAATACGAATCAAGACATGATTGAATCCGCTGAAGATGACGGTAGCGAGCGAGCTGAAAGCGGACCGAACGTCGTCGTACAAAACAAGCAAGTTGTCGTTTCTGACGAGGCTTCGACGAGTTTGGGTTCGCCGGAGCGAGTAGCAGACGAACAGGAACAGGAGCTTGAACTTGGTCTAAGTCAGGTCGCTTCATTTTTGAAGGATAATTCGGTTTTATCGCCTCTTGCTCCTGTATTCCAGTCCAATTCTAATATCGGTAAACAAGCAGCTTCTCGTGAACGTCACGCGGACTGCTCGTGCGTGGGAAAAGCCGACGCAAACAACAAATTTTGAAGACAACGGGGCTGGAGTAACGAGCGCTTGATTCAAAATGGGCAGAACGGTTTCGTGAACTTGAAGAATTGGAAATTAATAGAAGAGAAGAGCTGAACAAGCAGATGAGGGAGGCAAGGCTTAAACTAGAGAAAGAAATGCATCAGGCGAGAATTGAGCATGAGATGGCTATGAAGAAACGGGAAATACAACGACGTCGAGATGAGCTTCGGAAGCTTGAAGAAGAAGTTTTTGGTAATGATATTGAACATCAACTGTCGGACAGGGAAAGTAGTAGTAACGCTCGTGAACCAGATAAAAACCCAGTCCAGCAACCTTCAACCCAATCGACAGAAGCAGTTTAAGTCAGCGCTTGGCGATACCTCCTACCGGAAATTGTGTACCCCAAGAAAGTATAATAACCAGTGGAACTGGATGTCAAACTCAGCAAAGCTTGCAACGAGACAATTCGTCGCAGTTACAATATCTATTAGAGAAGCAGCAGATTACGATGGACGAAGTAGTGAAGGGATTAAGAATGCCTCAAAGGGAATACATGAGTTTTGATGGCGAACCTCGCAACTTTCCGTTGTTCATGAAGAATTTTGAAGTGAATGTCGAGAGTAAAGAAAGTAATGATGCAGATCGACTGAATTACCTTATTCAGTATTGTAAAGGAACAGCAAGACAAGCGATAGAGCATTGCATCATTATGCCTCCGGATCAAGGATACAAGCGTGCTAAGGAAATCCTGAGAAAAAACTTTGGTCGAAATCACATCGTAACCCAAGCATTCCTTGAGAAAGTCTTGAATGGACCGCCAATTAGAGTAAACGAAGCCGAGAAATTGTCGCAGCTAGCAAGAGATATGGAAACGTGTCTCCTTGGTTCTATTCAGTTAGGAAATCGGGCAAGTATCAATTCGATGGACACTCTGGGAAGGGTAGTTAGCCGCCTTCCAATGCATCTCAAGTCAAAATGGGCTGATAAAGCAAGCCATATGTACGACAATCACATCACACCAGATTTCTCTCATTTAACTGAATTCATACAATCCCGCGCAGCCGTGGCTAGTACGTACTTTGGTCAAATGATTACCTCGAAAAATGAAACCCGAAAGGATGGAACTGACAGATTGAAGAAGAAATCCTTCTTGTTTAGTGGGAATAGCACAAACTTAGCAACTCACAGCCAGAGAATATTTGACAGTAGTGAATCAAAGGGAAGAAATTTATCCTGCGTACTATGCAAAGGCACACACCATCTTGAACGCTGTCACAAGTTCAGGGCTCAAAATCTTCAGCAACGACAAGACCTAGTAAAGACGCACAAAGTTTGTCATGCTTGCTTGAGCCCAGGACATTTCGTGAAAGACTGCAGAGGTGCCCGCATATGCGGTGTTGAAGGTTGTCAGAGAAGGCACCATCCTTTGTTACACTCATCCGAAATAAAGGCTAAGGATTCTAAATCAAGTGAAAGAGTAATTCAAATCCTGAACCATCTGAAAGCGACAGCCAATCCAAAGCACTCCCAACGTCTGGAGTTGGCGCGACAAATTCATCATATAGCAGTTGTCGTATAGGTTTGCAAGTTATTCCAGTTAAGGTCAGCGCACCCTATGGTAGTCGTGTGATAGAAACTTATGCGTTCTTAGACAGTGGCTCCAACACAACCATGTGCTTAACCAGTTTAGCTGAAGATCTTGGAGCCGATTGCTCACCCATCGAATTCACGTTAGCGACTGTTTCAGGCAGCCACAAAAGTAAGGGTCAACAGTTATCTCTCGATGTGGTTGGAGTATCCACGGGCAAAGGTGTCAGACTAGATAAAGTTTGGACGACCAACACTCTTCCTGTTGCTCTAGAAAGTATTCCCACGAACACTGATGTAAAGGGTGGTCTCACCTTAAAGGCGTTAATCTAACCGATTTAGTGGATAAGAAAGTCACTATCCTTATTGGAAGTGACGTTCCCGAAAGCTCTTTGCCCCTTGAAGTGCGTTCTGGGAAAAGAAATCAACCCTACGCAATACGGACAATCCTCGGTTGGACGGTGATGGGACCTCTGAAGGAAAACCTTATCAAGAAGCTCAGATGAACTTCATTCATGTTGATCAAGCTCTTGGGTGTATGGAAAGGGAAGATGGTATGAGTTCCATTCGTCAGCAATTGCAAAATCTCTACAATTCAGAGTTTAGCGAGTCGGCTGCTGACGTTAAAGAATGTCTGTCGGTCGAGGATCGTCGCGCAAAGGCAATAATGGATAGAACTGTCAAGCTAGAAAATCATCAATATGAAATTGGTCTTCCTTGGAAATACGATGACCCTTCCTCCCGTACAATAAGTCTATGGCTGAAAGGAGACTTGCTTTTGAAGAAACGACTTGAGAGGACCCCATACTTCACAAATTATAAGGCAACGATGAAGGAATACATCTCAAAAGGGCACGCTAAAGTAGTTCAAGTGGATAAACAAAATACACAGGACGAGTCACTCAAAAAACTGGTTTGGTATCTGCCTCATCACCCTGTGACACACCCGCAAAAACCAGAAAAGACAAGAATCGTTTTTGACTGTGCTGCGAAGTTCCACAACGCATCCCTAAATAATCAGCTTCTTCAAGGACCAGATTATACCAATTCATTAGTTTGTATTGTTGCGGTTCAGGCAGGAAAGATAGCGGTAATGGCAGATATTGAGAAGATGTTCCATCAGGTGAAGGTTAAGCCAGAAGACTGTAATGCACTGAGATTTCTATGGTGGCCAGAGGGAGATCTATCCAAAGAACCAGTAGAGCATCAAATGACTGTTCATTTATTCGAGCAACCTCTTCCCAAGTTGTTGTTCTTACGCGTTAAAAAGAACAGCTTCAGATAATCGGGAAGAATTCAGCAAACAAGTTGTCGACACAGTTGATCGTAACTTTTATGTAGATGACTGTCTCAAGTCTTTACCAGAAAGGAAAGAAGCAATGAAGTTGGTAGACGAACTACCAGTTTTGCTGTCTCGCGGTGGATTCCATCTCACAAAGTGGGTGTCAAATGATCGAGAAGTCTTATCTCACGTACCTAACAAAGAAAGAGCGCCATGCGTCAGCCTTCAGTTGGAGAAGTTGCCGATGGAGAAAGCATTGGGCGTTCAGTGGAATACGGAAAGGACGTTGGGATTCCGGGGAAGCAAATTGAAAGCAGAGTCAAGAAGAGGGATTCTATCGTTCATAGCTTCGGTCTACGATCCCCTTGGTCTAGTCGCTCCTGTCGTTTTACCAAAACGCATAATGCAAAACCTGTGTCGAGTAAATCACGGCTGGGACGAAGATCTCCCAATCGAGACAAGCGAAATATGGCATGATTGGCAAAACGAATTCCATTCCTTGTGAAATTAGAAATACCTCGATGCTATAAACCGCACGAATTTAACAAGACAAGGAATGCGGAACTCCACTATTTTGCTGACGCATCGACTGAAGGATATGGGGAGTAGCAACGTACCTTCGGCTGGAAGATACCCAAGGAAGGATTCATTGTACCTTAGTTATGGGCAAATCAAGAGTTGCACCTCTTAAAACAGTCACACGGTACCCAGATTGGAACTAACCGCTGCAA